CAAAAGTTTCTCATTATCCATCTTCTGAAGTCTAATTTCGTCACAGTCATTCTCCGTCCAGCTTTGTTCCCTTGCTGGTGAGGAGTTTTGGTCCTTTCTAGGAGGCGATGTGTTCTGGTTTCGGGTGTTTTCCTCCTTTTTGCGCTGGTTTCTTCCCATCTTTGTGGATTTGTCCGCTGGTCGTCTGCGTAGTTGCTGACTTTTCATTTGGGTCTCTGAGTGGACACCCAGAATGTTGATGATGAAGTATTTCTGTTGCTTGGTTTTCCTTCTACCAGTCTAGCCCCTTCGCTGTACGACTGTTGAGGTCCGCTCCAGACCCTGCTTGTCTGGGGTGCACCTCTAGTAGCCGTGGCACAGCGAGGGAAGCTACCAGTTTCTTTTTCTGCTCTCTTTGTCCCAGGATGATGCCTGCCTAATGACAGTCTTTTGGATATAGAGGGGTCAGGGAGCTGCTTGAGGAGACAGTTTGTACTTTATAGGGGTTTAATTGCTGAGCTGTGTAGTCTGTTGTTCATTCAGGGCTGTTAGGCTGCTATGTTTGATTCTGCTGCAACACAGCTCATTAAACAACCCTTTTTTTTTTTCTCAAATGCTCTGTGTTGAGGGGTTTGGGCTTTATTTTTGGATGTCCGATCAGGTGTCCTGCCCAGCTCAAAGGCAGACTAGCCACTGTTTGGCTGCCGAGGCTCCGCCCTGCTGTTGTGTGATTCGCGCTGTTCCTGCCGGCTCTGCTGTGGTCTCCGCCACGCCCTGCGGCGGAGTCTCTTCGTTGTAGCGTGTTGCCTCAGCAATGGCAGGCTGCGTCAGCAGTGGGCGTGTATCTCAGTTGGGGCAGGTTGCCTCCATAGTGGTGGACGCCCCTCCCCCACAGAGCGTCTCGGACCGTCTGCCCGGGATAGTTTGAAATCGCGGTTTTGTTCGTCCCACTGGGTATCCCAAGCGATCTGTCCCTGCAATCCCCTGGGCTGGGCTACTGTGCAAGTCTCGTTCAGTCTCAAGTCCAGCCCTCTCAAGTCTCAGGTTGCCGGTTCAACAAGGCACCCAGACAAGCGCGCCCTGTGGGGATTGCTGGGTAGGGCCGGCCGCCGCCACCCCGGCTGCCGGCTTCGCCAGGCAGACCTACTGCCTGGCGTCCCGTGTCTTTTTATACTTGGGAGTTTCCCCGTTCTGTGGGCAACAAAGATCAGTCTGGAAATGCAGCACTGACTCACCGTTTGCGAATTCAACGTGGGCTCCAATCCTGGGTTGTTCTCACAGCGCCATCTTGAGTCCCCTCTCAACATTTTTCTTTTATAATGCAAAACTTTCCCATAAGAACCAAACTATTAATTGTTTGCCTGTTTTTTTTTAAAAGAATTTCCTTCTCCATAGAGATATGGCATAATAAAAGACTTGTTCTAAAGTTTCTTTCAGGGTGACACTCCACTATATCATTGGGAAGCTCCAGTCAAGTAGAGGCTTCCCTTCAGCCCAATAGAGATTCTTCATCTCAAAATTGTGTCCACGAAATATCTTAATACAAGTAGTCTCTGGCTTAGAAATTCATAAAATAAGAACATTCTGGAGAAGTTAGAGGCTATTAATTGAGAGGGTTGAAAGCCGTTTCTTATTACATTTTTTTTATACCCATGGTAGGTATCAAAGTGGCTAATAACCACTATGCCTGATTTCTAAATTATTTCTGTGGAAATCTATACAGAATTGTTTGTTTATTTCATGAGACAGTGTCACTGTCACCAAGGGTGAAGTGCAGTGGCCTGCTCACTGCTCACTGCAGCTTTGATCTCTCAAGCTTAAGTGACCTTTCTACCACAGCCTGAAAATACAGGCATGCACCACCATGCCTCAGCTAATTGTTTTTTAAAATTTTTCTTGAAGAAGGGGGAAGATGGCATTATAGGAGCAACTCAGGATTGCAGCTCTCAGTGAAGGCACAGAGGGTGAGTGCACACCGCATTTCCAGACGGATCTTTTCTGCCCACAGACCAGAAGATTCCCAGGTGTAGGAGCAACACGGGATGCCAGTGCAGCTGTTTTGGCTGGCACAGCCATTTCGGCCAGCGCCACAGCACAGCAGCACTCTGCACAAAATACACTGGTCTGGGTGCCTTGTTAAACAGGCAATTTGAAATTTGGGAAGGCAGATTAGCATATTCATCTGATTAAATGGGACTTAAACAGTAAGCCAGGCCAGGAGATTCCTGTGAAGCGATGTTTGAGCTGGCGCAGTGGGTCGCTGCATGGGAAATCACACAGATCCAGTGCCCTTTCAGCAGGTGATTGAAACACCTGGGAGACAGTCAACCTTTCAATTAAAAAAAACAACAACAAAAGGGCTCTGAGACAGGGAGCCAGGTGATCAGGCTCGGTGGGTCCCAATCCCACAAAAACAAACAAAACAGCAATTGGAAACACTCAGGGTTGAGAGTTTCATGGCAAACACAGCTGAACCCAAGACAATGCAGCTCGGTGGGGGAGGGGTGTCCACCATTACTGAGGCATTCTGCCCCTACAGAGGTACTCTCACATTGCTGATGCAGCCTGCCATTGCCGAGGCAACCCACCATAACAGAGAGAGTCTGCCAATACAGAGGTGGGCCACCATCACCATGGCAGCTCTAACCACACCCATATAAACAGGACTACAGGGAATTACACTAGGCATCAGGGCAGAGCCCATGGCAGCAGGGCAAAGCCTCGGCAGGCAGTAGTGACTAGACTGCCTCCTAGCTCAGCAGGACAGTGCAACGGATACTCATAAATAAAGCCCTAACTTCCGAGACAGAGCACCTAAGGAAAAAAAGGGGCTTTATGAGCTCTGCTGCAGCAGACTTAAAACGTACATGCCTAGCAGCCCTGAATGAACAATGGAGCTCACAGCTCAGTACTTGAGCTCCTATAAAGTAGAGACAGTCTCCTCAAGCAGCTCCCTGACCCCATATATCCAAAGAGTCACCTCACAAAAGACTGATCAGACTCACATTTGGCAGGCATCATTCTGGGACAAAGATAGCAGCAGAAGAAACTGGTAGCATCCCTCACTGTTCTGCAGCTGCTACGGGTGTACCCCAGACAAGCAGGGCCTGGAGTGGACCTCAGCAGTCGTACAGCAGAGGGGCTAGACTGTTAGAAGGAAAACTAAGAAACAGAAATACTTCACCATCAACAATCTGGGCATCCACTCAGAGACCCAACCGAAAAGTCAGCAACTACTTAGATGACAGGTGGATAAATCCACAAAGATGGGAAGAAACCAGTGCAAAAAAGAGAAAAACACCAAAAACCAGAACACCTCACCTTCTACAAAGGACCAAAACTTCTCACCAACAAGGGAACAAAGCTGGACAGAGAATGAGTGTGACGAAATGAAAAAATCAGACTTCAGAAGGTGGGTAATGAGAAACTTTCATGAGCTAAAAGAATATGCTCTAAATCAATGCAAAGAAACTAAGAACCTTGAAAAAAGATTTGAAAAAAAATTTGAGGAAATGATAACAAGAATGAAAAACTTAGAGAAAAGTATGAGTGAATTGAAGGAGCTGAAAAACACAACACGAGCACTTCGTGAAGCATGCACAAGTTTCAACAGCTGAATTGACCAAGCAGAAGAAAAGATATCAGAAGTTGAAGATCAACTCAAAGAAATAAAATGAGAAGCCAAGATTAGAGAAAAGAGCACAAAAAGGAATGAACAAAGTCTCCAAGAAATGTGGGACTATGTGAAGAGACCAAACCTACGTTTGATAGGTGTACCTGAATGTGATGAAGAGAATGAATCCAAGCTGGAAAATACTTTTCAGGATATTATCCAGGAAAATTTCCCCAACCTAGAAAGGCAGGCCTGTATCCAAGTCCAGGAAATACAGAGAACACCACAAAGTTATTCCACAAGAAGAGCAACCTCAAGGCACATAATTGTCAGATTCACCAGGGTTGAAATGAAAAAGAAAATGCTAAGGGCAGCCAGAGAGAAAGGTAACTGGACAAAGTTACATTCAAATGATAGTTATTGAGCCTTGAAATAAAAATTATGAGCTAATTATTAATACAAATATTCAAAGTAAATTATAAATACCAGTGGGAAGACTAAATCAAATATGGTTTTGCTAAAATTTACCATATTTATCCTAAACTATGATTTTATAACAAGCAGCTGCCTTTAAAATCTTATATGCTCATAAAAATACACAATCTGGGACTGACAAATTTTCAGATTTAAGTCAAATTTATATGAATAAAATCAAAGCTACACCAACTAAAATACATTTTTAAAAACTTCTTTAAAAAAGTATTACAAGACACAGCAATACACTTCAGTTCATCTGGGAAATCTAGAATTAACTGTCGAAGAAAATCACTGAATTAAATTTTAATTTGAAAATACTCATTTCAGGCGCAAGCATTTTCATTTATCTGCTTCATCATTGTCTTAACATATGGCAACATAAAGATGTTAAAATTGTTATTTCAGCAGCACAGGACTATCTGCCTTAAATTTGACTCTGTGTCTATTAAAATTTCCCAGGTGACACAACATCTTTACTCAAAGTAAGTCATCTCTCAGCTCTACCTTTTATTTCCTGGAAACAAGGTATGTTGCTAAGCTGATATAGTAAACACATTTTTCTTTTTTCTTTTTTGGATTTTTATTAAATCAGCTTTGTTGAAAGATAATTTACATATATAGAATGTATTACTTCATAAAGATAGAAGAAAACATACAGTTAGAAGATTTTAGTAAATTGACTGTGTTGTGCAGCCATCTCTACAGTCCAACTTTAGAGGCTTCCCATCACTGCAAGATCCCTCACGCCCATTAGCAGTCACTACCAGCTTCCAGCCCCAGCCCTATGCAAACAATCATCTACTTTCTGTCTCTATGCATTTATATTTTCTGGATGTTTCATGTAAATGTCATTAGACAGTATGGTAAACACATTATTTATTTATTTATTTTTATATTAAACTAGGTTCAACATGTATCCAAAACCAAACGTTTAAATGTTCTTTCCAGAAGTTTGAAAGTATTTATCTTCCTTGATACTTCTCTTTCTGCTTTCTCTTTCTCATATTGAAACAGACTTTCTTTTAAAAGATTACATTTATTCATTAACTTATTTTTTTCTTCTAGCAGAAAACCTTCCTTTCCATGATCAATAAAGCCTCCTTTGACATTAATTACTCTTTTTCTATTATCCCCTTTCTGATGAGCATCATCTAGTTGCTGTTGAAGCCACAGATTTTCATGCTGTAATTCATATATTCTCTCTTCTACATAGTTCTGCTTTCCAGTGGATTTATTCTGTTTAACTTCTGCATTTTGATACATCTCCTTCATTTCCTTTAGTTGCTGTTCTGTTTTGCTTAGGTCCTTTTGTACAGTTTCTTAAGCCAATGTCTTTTTTTCTGAGAGTATCTCTTGTCTTATGAAACTTGTCTTTTAAGGTATTGAATGTAATTTGCATTTTAGAAAGTTGTTCCATAAGAAACTCATTCTCACTTTTAGTTCAGAAATATCACTCAATTCTATCTGTAAAGAAAGCTTGAGGTCTCTTTCTGTTTTCACCCTTTGATTGTGTTCACTTATAGCAGCAGCCAGTCTAGACCAATAGGATTCAATTTTGGCTTCCAGTCTTCCTTTGTTTTCTTTTTTCTTTTCCAGTTCAGAATTGAGCCTTGTGTTTTCAGCTTTCAGATCATTAAGCTGTTGTTGATACTGAGATACTGTTTTTGTTGTCATTTCCTCATTGAATTTTGTACTCTTTTCAAGCTCAGCGTTTCTTTCTTTAATACTTTTAATGTTCTTAAAATATTTATTTTCTTTTTCAAGGCTGTCCTTTTTGATTGTCTCTATTTCCTGTCTGAGTATAGCAATATCTGTCTTCAAAATGCCATTTTCATGCATAAGATCTATCATTTTTTTTCATGATTATGAAAATCCTAAATAAAACAAAAGAAGGTTTTAGCTAGTACTAAATAAAATAACATATCATGATTATCTCTGAAGTTAAATAATAACCTGTACATCCACACACTGAACAGATTAAGTGGATATTTAACAGGAGAAAAAGTTGAAGCAAAACTTTGAACCGTATAGAGCATAAATTCCAAAAAGTTCAAATATTTATTTGATGTCAATAAATTCATAAAAATACACACACACACACGCACACACACACACACCACAGAGAATTTTTAAGACTCTCAGAATTAGAAAAACATTTACTTGAATTACAACAAACCTAAAAGCATCAATTAAAACATTAACAAATTTGACTAAATTAAAATATCACATAAAGAAAACTGCATTTACACTTTGATATCTAACGCATACACTACCCTATAGTAAGAGTCTTACCTTACACCTATTTGGACAGATAAAATTTCTCAAAGTTATTGAAGTTCTGTTTCCCTGATAATATTCTATTGCAATTTGACTCTTTTAACAATTTTTTAGTCAGTTATAAGAATGACATTTACTAAATCATAAATCTAGACCTTGTTGTAGTCACTTCTATATACATTCACTGATGAACTCTTTTAGTTAACACAATTTTGAAAAAGAAAGTTGAAAAATATAAGCGAGCTTCAGGATTTTTCTTCAGGGCTTCTGACTCTACTTCTAGTTCTCCACCAGATCATAGTTACTTCTGTTGTGTAAATATATCAATATAAGAGAAGCCTTTTATTTCAAAACACCAATAGTAGATAAGATAAAATTTCTAGAGCTCTTCTTAGGATGAGATCATTTGTGATTGCAATTATTTCTGTTTCCTTTTTATAATATTAGAAACAGTAATCAATATGAAATAGGGGAAAGTTCAAGGAACTATTTTACTGGGAACAAAACTTTTATCAATAAGTTATCACTAAGTATATATTATGGTATATTACTGTTTCCAAAAGCTCTTTGTAATAAAATAATATCCTACTTGGATGCCAAGATTTATAATAAATACTAATTATTTTACCTGTAAGTGTCATCATTCATTTTTAAAGATGAGATAACATTTCTGGTTTGTTTTAGACCTAAATAGTATTATTAAATCAAGTGGATATTATAAGTAATATTGATAAAGTTAAAAATATAAAATTCCTATCAAAGATTGATTTACCTGATTTTGAGTATTCTTAAGGTCTTCAGTTCCATCTCTAATGACTGAACAGTTAGTTCAAGTTGTTGTTTGGCTTTAACTTCTCCCACATATGGTCCCTGTTGTCTTTCCAACTCTTCCTTAGTTATTTTGTACAGCATATTATTATTACTTTTCTCTTCATTTTCTTGTTTTAAGGTGCATCTGCAAATAAAGGCACTTATCTTAAAATTCATTTTGTGAGAAAATCAAAGGTTCATCTTGTGATCTGCCTCTGCATATGTTGTTCATTATCTTAATAAAATTTCTATGTTCTCAAACACTTTTCCTCTGCAATTTCCAGATATTTAATTTCTCACTTCAATGTCTTCAAAACCATGCATATATACTTGAAAAGTAGCAAGGAAATAATATTCTGCTAAAGTTTCTGTTATTAATTGCTCTAGCATATATTATAAAAAAGGATGCTGCAGATTACTCAGTAAAGTTAAAAGCTGAAAACTACCCTTTTAAGTCACACAGTCATATTTACTCCCCCATTAGAATAGATTATTTACAATTTTTTTAAATTGCATTTTAGGTTTTAGGGTACATGTGCAGAACGTGCAAGATAGTTGCATAGGTACACACATGGCAGTGTGTTTTGCTGCCTTCCTCCTCTTCACCCACATTTGGCATTTCTCCCCAGGCTGTCCCTCCCCATCTCCCCCATCCGCTGTCCCTCCCCTAATCCCCCCAATAGACCCCAGTGTGTAGTACCGCCTTCCCCGTGTCCATGTGTTCTCATTTTTCCTCACCCACCTATGAGTGAGAATATGTGGTATTTCATTTTCTGTTCATGTGTCAGTTTGCTGAGAATGATGTTCTCCAGATTCATCCATGTCCCTACAAAGGACACGAACTTATCATTTTTGATTGTTGCATAATATTCCATGGTGTATATGTGCCACATTTCCCCAGTCCAGTCTATCATCAATGGGCATTTGAGTTGGTTCCAGGTCTTTGCTATTGTAAACAGTGCTGCAATGAACATTCGTGAGCATGTGTCCTTATGGTAGACCGATTTATAGTCCTTTGGATATATACCCAGCAATGGGATTGCTGGGTCAAATGGAATTTCTATTTCTAAGGCCTTGAGGAATCACCACACTGTCTTCCACAATGGTTGAACTAATTTACACTCCCACCAGCAGTGTAAAAGTGTTTTTATTTCTCCACATCCTCTCCAGCATCTGTTGTCTCCAGATTTTTTAATGATCGCCATTCTAACTGGCGTGAGATGATATCTCAGCGTGGTTTTGATTTGCATCTCTCTAATGACCAGTGATGATGAGCGTTTTTTCATATGTTTGTTGGCCTCATGTATGTCTTCTTTTGTAAAGTGTCTGTTCATATTCTTTGCCCATTTTTGAATGGGCTTGTTTGTTTTTTTCTTGTAAATCTGTTTGAGTTCTTTGTAAATTCTGGATATCAGCCCTTTGTCAGATGGGTAAACTGCAAAGATTTTTTTCCCATTCTGTTGGTTGCCAATTCACTCTAGTGACTGTTTCTTTTGCCGTGCAGAAGCTGTGGAGTTTGATTAGGTCCTATTTGTCTATTTTGGCTTTTGTTGCCAATGGTTTTGGTGTTTTGGTCATGAAGTCCTTGCCTATTTCTATGTCCTGAATGGTTTTGCCTAGATTTCCTTCTAGGGTTTTTATGGTGCCAGGTCTTATGTTTAAGTCTTTAATCCATCTGGAGTTAATTTTAGTGTGAGGTGTCAGGAAGGGGTCCAGTTTCTGCTTCCTGCACATAGCTAGCCAGTTTTCCCAACACCATTTATTAAACAGGGAATCCTTTCCCCATTGCTTGTTTTTGTCAGGTTTACCAAAGATTGTATGGTTGTAGATGTGTTGTGTTGACTCCAATGCCTCTGTTCTGTTCCATTGGTCTATATCTCTGTTTTGATTACTGTGGCCTTGTAGTATAGTTTGAAGTTCGGTAGTGTGATGCCTCCCGCTGTGTTCTTTTTGCTTAGAATTGACTTGGCTATGTGGGCTCTCTTTTGGTTCCATATGAAGTTCAAGGTGGTTTTTTCCAGTTCTGTGAAGAAGGTCATTGGTAGCTTGATGGGGATAGCATTGAGTCTGTAAATCACTTTGGGCAGTATGACCATTTTCACAATATTGATTCTTCCTAACCATGAACATGGAATGTTTCTCCATCTGTTTGTGTCCTCTCTTATTTTGTTGAGCAGTGGTTTGTAGTTTTCCTTGAAGAGGTCTCTTATGTTCTTTGTAAGTTGTATTCCTAGGTATTTTATTCTCTTTGTAGCAATTGTGAATGGCAGTTTGTTTTTAATTTGGCTCTCTTTAAGTCTGTTATTGGTGTATAGGAATGCTTGTGATTTTTGCACATTGATTTTATATCCTGAGACTGCTGAAGTTGCCTATCAGTTTCAGGAGTTTTTGGGCTGAGGCGATGGGGTCTTCTAGGTATACTATCATGTCATCTGCAAATAGAGACAGTTTGGCTTCCACCTTTCCTATTTGAATACCCTTTATTTCTTTTTTTTTTTTTTGCCTGATTTCTCTGGCTAGAACTTTCAGTACTATATTGAATAGGAGTGGTGAGAGAGGGCATCCTTGTCTAGTGCCAGATTTCAAAGGGAATGCTTCCAGTTTTTGCCCATTCAGTATGATATTGGCTGTTGGTTTGTCGTAAATAACTTTTATTACTTTGAGATATGTTCCATCAATACCGAGTTTATTGAGGGTTTTTAGCATAAAGGGCTGTTGAATTTTGTCAAATATCTTCTCTGCGTCAATTGAGATAATCATGTGGTTTTTGTTTTTGGTTCTGTTTATGTGGTGAATTACGTTTATAGACTTGTGTATGTTGAACCATCCTTGAGCCCCCGGGATGAATCCTACTTGATCATGATGGATACGGTTTTTGATGTGCTGTTGCAATCAGCTTGCCAGTATTTCATTGAAGATTTTTGTAGCTATGTTTATCATGGATATTGGCCTGAAGTTTTCTTTTTTTGTTGGGTCTCTGCCGGGTTTTGGTATCAGGATGATGTTGGTCTCATCAAATGATCTTGGAAGGATTTCCTCTTTTTGGATTATTTGGAATAGTTTCAGAAGGAATGGTACCAGCTCTTCTTTGTGTGTCTGGTAGAATTCGGCTGTGAACCCAACTGGACCTGGGCTTTTTTTGTGTGGTAGGCTCTTAATTGCTGCCTCGATTTCAGACCTTGTTATTGGTTTGTTCATAGTTTTGGCTTCCTCCTGGTTTAGGCTTGGGAAGACGCAGGTGTCCAGGAATTTATCCATTTTTTCCAGGTTTACTAGTTTATGTGCATAGAGTTGTTTGTAGTATTCTCTGATGATGGTTGAGTTTCTGTGGAATCTGTGGTGATTTCCCCTTTATCATTTTTAATTGCATCTTTTTGGTTAATTCTCTCTTTCCTATTTTATCAGTCTGGCTAGTGGTCTGTCTATTTTGTTGATCTTTTCAAAAAACCAACTCTTGGATTTATTGATTTTTTTGAAGAGTTTTTCATGTCTCAATCTCCTTCAGTTCTGCTCTGATCTTAGTTATTTCTTGTCTTCTGCTAGGTTTTGAGTTTTTTTGATCTTGCTCCTCTAGCTCTTTCAATTTTTATGATAGGGTGTCAATTTTGGATCTCTCTGCTCTTCTCATGTGGGCACTTATTGCTATATATTTTCCTCTGGAGTCTGCTTTAAATGTGTCCCAGAGATTCTGGTATGTTGTGTCTTTGTTCTCGTTGGTTTCAAAGAACTTCTTTATTTCTGCCTTCATTTCATTGTTTATCCAGTCAATGTTCAAGAGCCAGTTGTTCCGTTTCCATGAAGCTGTAAGGTTCTGAGTTAGTTTCTGAATTCTGAGTTCTAACTTGATTGCACTATGGTCTGAGAGACTGTTTGTTATGATTTCAGTTGTTTTGCATTTGCTGAAGAGTGCTTTACTTCCAATTATGTGATCAATTTTAGAGTAGGCGTGATGTGGTGCTGAGAAGAATGTATATTCTGTTGATTTGGGGTGGAGAGGTTTGTAGATATCTATCAGGTTTGCTTGTTACAGGTCTGAGTTCAAGTCCTGGATATCCTTGTTAATTTTCTGTGTGGTTGATCTGTCTAATATTGACAGTGGAGTGTTAAAGTCTCCCACTATTATTGTGTGGGAGTCTAAGTCTCTTTGTAAGTCATTAAGAACTTGCCTTATATATCTGGGTGCTCCTGTATTGGGTCCATATACATTTAGGATTGTTAGCTCTTCCTGTTGTATCGATCCATTTACCATTATGTAATGACCTTCTTTTTCTCTTTTTATCTTTGTTGCTTTAAAGTCTATTTTATCAGAGATAAGAATTCTAACTCCTGCTTTTTTTTGCTCTCCATTTGGTTGGTAAATCTTCCTCCATCCCTTTATTTTGAGCCTTTGTTTATCTTTGCATGTCAGATGGGTTTCCTGGATACAGCACACCGATGGGTTTTGGTTTTTTATCCAATTTGCCAGTCTGTGTCTTTTGATTGGTGCATTTAGCCCATTTACATTTAGGGTTAATAATGTTATGTGTGAATTTGATACTGCCATTTTGTTGTTAGCTGGCTGTTTTGCCCATTCGTTGATGAAGATTCTTCATTTTGTTGATGCTCTTTAGCATTTGGTATGTTTTTAGGATGGCTGGTACTGGTTGTTCCTTTCTATGTGTAGTGCCTCTCTCAGGAGCTCTTGTAAAGCAGGCATGGTGGTGACAAAATCTCTGAGTACTTGCTTGTTGGCAAAGGATTTTATTTTTCCTTCACTTATGAAGCTCAGTTTGGCTGGATATGAACTTCTGGGTTGAAAGTTTTCTTCTTTAAGAATGTTGAATATTGGCCCCCACTCTTCTGGCTTGTAGAGTTCCTGCTAAGAGATCTGCTGTGAGTCTGATGGGCTTCCCTTTGTAGGTGACTCGACCTTTCCCTCTGGCTGCCCTTAGTGTTTTCTCCTTCATTTCAACCCTGGTGAATCTGGCGATTATGTGCCTTGGGGTTGCTCTTCTTGAGGAATATTTTTGTGGTGTTCTCTGTATTTCCTGGACTTGAATATTGGCCTGCCTTGCTAGGTTGGGGAAATTTTTCTGGATAATATCCTGAAGAGTGTTTTCCAGCTTGGATTCATTCTCTTCGTCACATTCTGGTACACCTATCAAA